CAGGGAGCCACAGCGCCTCCAGGCTGGGCTCAGCGGGGGACCCTGCGTCCAGCCTGGGCACTGCCCTGTGCCGCCTCCCGCTGCTGCTGTTTGCGCCTCTGGATGTCCCGGTAGGCCTGGATGACGCGCGCTCTCTCCTCCTCCACGATGCGCCGGCGAGCCATCGACACCGGCGCTGCTGGGGACACTGGGGACGCCTGGCTCTGGCCCAGGTGAGACGTCAGGAGGAGCCGCTTCCGTCCAGCCTGCGGGCAGAGACAGGACAGGTGAGGGAGGATGAAGGAGGAAAAAGCCAGGACCAGGCTCCAAAAAACTGTCACCAGCAGGCTGAGGCTGCCACTGTGCTTCCAGGCCTGATTTCCAGCCCAAGGGAGGTCAGACCAGCCAGGTCCAGCCCAGAGCCGCGGGTACCCGAGGGCACGAACGAGGGGCAGGAGGCATCACCACCCCGCAGCTCACCTGCTCTGCAGGGCCCCGGCCCTTGGGCCGCGAGGTGATGGTGGGCGGCTGCGTAACCACTTCACCGAATGCCACCGTGTCTACGAGAGAGAAGCAGGCACTGGCGTGATGCAGGAGCTCCCCAGGACACGCCGCTCCAGCTCCCCCCTACCTCTCCCCACGCTGCCGGAGCAGGGTGTTGCTCCAGCCACCCCGCTGCACCAGACCCACCTTGGAACATGCTCTTCTCCAGCATGGCTTCTTTATTCTCCTCCTTTTTCTTCTGTGCTTTTTCCAGCTTCTTATTCTGAAACCTGAAGAGCTGCATTATGGCCCGGACTCGTGACTGGACAGGGAGCAAGTAAATGAGTTCCTACCGCATGGGATCCCCCCCAAAATCTGGGGCCCCACAGCTCCCCCCCTACTCTGCCACCAGCCTCCCCCAGTTCCAGCCCAGTAGCAGGAGGGTGAAGCAGGTCTGTGGCTCCAGTCCCAGAGATTTGGCCCTGTGGAGATGAGGCCCACAGCCCTCTGCCCGCACTTAGAATTTGCTGCCAAGTGCTGGACCTGTGCTGCACCACTGGCAAAGCACCCACCACGAGCCCAAAACCAGGCTGGGGCACAGGCCTGGGCTGACCCGGTCCAGCCCCAGCAGCTGCGGTGATCTTGCTCTCACTCTTTCTTTCTCTTGGACTTCTCTGGTGCCATCGCCTCCTTCTCAGGCTCCCGCTGCAGCTGGTTCTTGGTGAGGAACAGGACGCGCTGCACCTCCTGCTCCATGCGACAGATGTAGGAGTGCTCCGACTCCCTCTTCCCCCTCCTGAACTTGGGCACGGGGATGTCTTCGGGGACCTTGGGAGTCTTTGACTTGGGCTGCTGCTTCTTCTCTAGGAGAGACGGGTGACATTACTGCAGCAGTGACAATCTGGGGGTTCCCTCCCACTGGCATGGCAGGGATGGGACATCACCGGGGGGAGCGGGATGCCCCACTGCAGGATCCGGCTGCCTCCAGCTGCACCGCAGCACCATGGGCTCCTCAGCCAGGCCCCAGGGAACCGGGCTCGGCCCGGGCCAGCCCCGCCCCCCCCCTGCCGCCTGCCTCTTCCCGGGGTTGGGGCGCTTCATGGCCTCGCGGCTCCTGATGAGCTCCCGCAGGCGGAAGGGCATCTCCTGCTCGTCGGGATGCTTGGGCTTCATGTTTTCCACCTTCTTCTCCTTCCTGGGAGAAAACGAATGCGGTGTAAGGCCTGCCCTGAAGCACCAGGATTTGGCCACAGCACGGCACCGGGACTCGGGCATGGCAGGACACGGTAGCAGTGGGACACAGCGAGGCGGGCACCAAGACTCGGGCATAAAGGAACACGGGGAGGCAGGCATGGCAGGATACCGGAGCACCTGGACCTGGCGAGGCACCAGGGGACCCGGGCACGGCGGGACACCGGGACCCGTGCAGAGAAGGGCATGGGGACGCAGCCCCCAGAAGCGAGGCCCCCGCCAGAGTCCAGCCGGGCCCCGAGTCCCCGCGTGGGCCCAGACCCCACACCGGGAGCCAGCCAGGCCCGATCCCGACCGGAGCCCCCGCGG